GCTGCATTGTGAATCACAAGCCAAGCCTCCGTTGAACCCGAAAGCCCAAACTCTAAACTCTGTACCAAGCTCTGGTTTCACTAGTGCTCATGGCCGGAGGCTTGTGGAAGTCAAGATCATTGCCGGCTCGAAAGCTCTGCCTTCAAAGCCTCAAAAGAGAGATATGAGGAGCCCGGCATAGTGATTATAAGCCAATATCCTGATTGTAGTGACTCCCAGAAAAGGTACCCCAAGATACCAACCATGGCAGAGATTGATCTTGCTGCTTCAGCAAGCAGCCAAACTTCACTGCAAGGCAGTCCTGGCCGCATCTCAACCATACAAAATGTTGTGTAGTATAGTATAGTATCAGACAATGTAATAAAGTAAAGAGAGTATGATATATGAGATCTGGCTAAGAGACTGAAGCTTTCACGTTTCCCACGCCATGCCTGCCACAGCCCTGGCAGAATTGGTGCACCGGAGATCGCCTGCACACCAAACAAAAGGAATCCGCAGAGGTCTAAAAGGTGATGGCGAGGGGAAATGCCTGGCCCCGCAGAAGGTGCAGAATCCAGCCTGAGCCTGGACAGCCCACAACTTGATACTTGCATCATATACTGAAATATGATATGTTATAGTATGGTACGATATAGTGTAGCTGTAATATAGTATAGCAAAGGCAGAATATCATGCAGTAGAGCAGAAATTCACCACACGTCTCCAGCAGCCTCTGCTGGCCAAGCGGCAAAGGAACCTGGAAGTGCCAGCACACAGTATCAGGGCTCGATAGGGACGACTTGCAGTAAATGCAAATTCCTGTATCCCACGGACAATCACTTGCAGTGTTCAGGGCCACTCATAACGATTTCTGCTTTTGCTCAGGCCGATTTTGCCGGCACATCCATTCTAAGAACTATCGCCAAGTGGCCTGGGAGATTGACTTGTGGTGGCAACTCCTGCTGCGAATCCAACTTGCTCATGACAAGAGGTCATGATAGCATGTCAGAAGCACCTTCTGCAACTGGTTCTTCATGGAGGGCCTGCCACAGCGACACACCAGCTTTGATGGGAAGAGTCCGCATCTCCACTGCACGCAGATTCATGGAATCTGGTACGGCAAACTGCTGCGTTGTTTGGCTCAAAATCTGCTGGTACAGGCCCTCTGAGACAAGCAGTGGAGCCATCAACTCCTTACTTGTAACAAGGTGACTTTACTAACCCCAACCCCTATCATAAGGACCCTGTCGCTGTCCTGTGACTCAAATAAGGTCCTGATTTGAAGAGTTGGGCAATTCAAAATAACCTTCTAGGCTGGGTTGGACCCCAGCCATGGCGCACACAGCCAGCGGAGGCACCGTTCCTAAACCCTCACAAATTACGACCCAAATATAGTCATATGATCGTTGTCAGGTCCTTGTTATCGGGCTTTCGGGAGCCAAAACCACCTGATTGGCAAACGCGTGGGTATTCCTTGCTAGCATGGAGTTCTCGACGCAAGAGGAAGGGGAATTCGAACCCATCTCGAAGGTGTTCAAACTTGTGCTAAACCCACAACACTAAACTGTAACCCTAAGCCGTGTGGCCATGCCCAGCTCCTTCCAATGTCAGCATCCTCTTTGTAAACCCTAAACCCCAAAACCCTAACCCTCGATGAGGTCTGGGTTGCTGCGAAGCTGTACATCCGGGGGGGCTGAGCTCGCAGCTCTGACGCAATGTTTAGGGTTGAGAATTTAGGATGTATGAATCAGCAACCCCAGTGTTCAAAAACTGACGTGATGCGGGCTTGGAGAAAAGCTCAGACTGAGAACCCTACATGACCTCGGTATACTATATTACCATGATTCCCAAGGCACAAGGTCCTTGGGATCATGCAAGATTGTCAGTCTCAACCGTAACACGGTAACCTCCTTCTGCGGCGTGAGCCATCATGGAAAAGCCGGTTCCTAGATTCTCCAGAACGCAATTGCAAGTCATCCGCCTCAACTGGATACCTTCCTTACCAACGCAGCTGTTTGCAGTTCCGTCATGCCAGGACCTGGAAGTCGCACAAACTGGGGAGCACAGGGCTTCCACGAGGGGACTACATGGTGCTCCTACATGCAGCAAAAGCGGGCCGACAAGTGCGTCGATCAATATTCAGGGAGCAAGTGAGCCAGGCTGACATGCGCATAGGGGACACCTTCTGCACCTTCTCAAGTGAAGCAGTGCGCCAGGTGTTCCAAAACAGCGCAATGCTTCGGCATACAGGCCTTACGCAGAAACAGTGGGCGAGCATCTGGGTCCTTGGTGTTAATCCGAGGGGCCCTCGCTGGCTCTGTAACAGAGACCGCTTTCAGCTCCCTGCCCCGAAGTTCACCCTGGTGCGGGAAAAGTGCCTCAGGTCAGCCAAGGTACTTTCCGTAAAAACGGGGCACCCAACATGGACCCCAAAATACTGTTATCCTGGTCGTAGCGACCCCCAAAAGGGACCTGTTTTGTTTTGAAGCCCGAATCCGAAAAACTACTACAAAAATTCCAGCTTCCATTTCATTTTCCATGTTCTTGTCCATTTAATTGTCCATGATTGTGTGCTACATTCCTTCTGTAAGCTAGATCAAACACCTATATATGCCTAGGTAGTCCCCACATAGCCCTTTATGCGCCAGCATCCACCACCCCCCCTCCCCCCCACCCCCATGGTATCCCCCCCCCCCACCCCCTGTGGCCTGTGGTCTGGGTTATGTTCTG